TGGTAATAGACCTACAGAATCATTTACTTTCGAGCGAGTCCTTCTTATGCTTGCCTTGCCGATTTATGACAATAAAATCAAATATCTTTTTAACAAATAAATTTAGTCTCTTCTATGACATCAACATACTAGTATATGGACTCTACTCTTTTCAGCTTGTAAAAAGTCTTTATACTATAACTATTGGTGGGAACAATTTTGGCAATTATATCTATGAAAATATATATTACATTTCGCTTAGGAGTAAAGTCATAAATTTGTTACTTCTTCAACAGACTGAGTTTAAGTAATTCAATGAATTTCTGAAATTATAATTAAAGGATAACAGATAATATATTGAAGAGAGGTAGTCTCACTTTAAGAAGTTATATCCATTAGGCACTAATTATAATATGCTGACTGAATCCGCCCCGTGGTAACTAATATATCTACCTTCATTGCTTTACTGATGTAATTTTTACTCATTCGATTTATTAATAACTATTCTAGGCCCTAATATCTTGCATACAAGCCAAATAAATCCTTTCATATCCTGCTTATGATGATGCTATCCAGACATAACTATACTCGCATATAGAATTTATTTCATCATTCACAAGAATCCCAATTAACACTTGCTCAAGCTTCACAAAACCTGCTTACTATCGTATCAAAAATAGAATTGAATCCATATCTGATTACACATGTGCCAACATAAACTCGAATATCTGCCCTCATCGACGGATTTGCATCATGAATACAATGAATATACATGCTAATTTTGGAGTACCTTTCATTTTATTTGAAGAGGTGAGTGGAAGGTATTCGTGAGTTGGTTCCACTGGAGGCTGTGGGAGGGTTGCCTTGGAGCTGTAGCTGTAAATTTGTGCAAATAGGTCCTCGGCGCACCACCCTGCGACCCCGGTGAATCCTTGCTGAACTTTCCTCTGCCATGTGACAGACATCGTCAAAACAGGACACTATGCTTAACGATAATTCACCAAAAACACAAAGGTGACCGGCTTCAAACCTATCTCCTTCTTATAGTCAAATTTTGTTCGTCACATGACAGATGATAAATCTACAAGGATTCATCGGGGTCGCAGGGCGGTGCGCCGAGGACCTATTCGCACACATCTACAGCTACAGCTCCAAGACAACCTTTTCACAGCCCCCAGTAGGACTAACTTACGAATCCCTTCCACTCGCCTCTTCAAACGAAATGAAAGATACTTCACATCGCTCTATTGAGAAATTCTTCGAAACCCAGTTTTTATGCATACATATTAATGTTTGGGCATCCAACTTCATCATTCGCTTACTGGCCCTTTCAGCCACGAATCTACCTGTTTTAAGTTTTATAACCCCAATCCCAATTTTTCCATTCCTGCTTGCTTGGATATTTGTCATCTTGTGTACATCTTTGTACCCGTATGCGACCTTAGAAACTGGTGGATTTAAATAATTTCGCCTCGGCGATGGCCGTGATGAATGGCCTCCAGGTGCAGTGCGTGCACCGACTGCGCGTCAGCTGGGCTGGTTTGCAGGCGCGACGAGAGCGCACATGCCTCAAACGCCTAGCCGATATGTTGAGTCCGGAAGATAACTACGGCCGTCTACGCGTCATTATTAGTGACAACCGGCTCCCCTGCATTCCTTATCTGGGTGCGCTTGTTCTGCAAACTTTTAATATTCTTGTCGTGGTTGTGATCGTGTTATTATTTTCAAAATATTGTTCTATTTTTATCGCTATCATAATCTAGGGTAAATATTTTGGTAATGGCATATTGATTAGCGTTTACTTGGTACATTTGATTACCTACTAGTTGTGAAAAAAAGATTCAAATGTCCAACTTTTCTTGCTTACAGTTATGCTGTTTCGGGCTGTAAATGCTTAGCATCACATTCAAATAAAAATGTCCTTAGAATAAATAAGAATTGGATCTTTTTCATCAATCTGAGTTCTATATTATTAATATGATGATAAATAGAATACACAAATGTGCCATTATCCGTTTTCGAATCAAGGATGTCTTCCTAATCCTGAATGGGTGAAAGTAAAATGGTCAAATAGCCAAGACAATCGTCAAGCCAATGATGCTTGGGTCAAATGAAGAAATTAAATTTGAGAGGCCTCTATTATCTCAATCACGGGGATATACACTTTGACTTTATACGAAAAAACGAGGAAAAAAATCTCTAAAATGACAGGTAGTTTTTTTAAAGATTTTTATTAGGAGTGGTTGACATTTTTGCGAATAAGGAAAAATATTATACGTGATTGGGGGGCAGAATCGTTCACCTAAGCATGTTGCAACTAAGAAGATTCTCTTATTAGTTATATGAATGATTTAATACTTGATTTATGCTGGATATATGTGAATAAAAGTTAGGTTTCGAGGAATCTCTTGTTTCTTGATTGTTGAGCTTACTTCCATTTCGAGTGAAACTGTTGGGCAAGGTCGGTTCCACCAGAAGACGATGGCGGATTCCTCTTGACCAGCTGTCGATTGGCTTTACTGGAAGATGATGCTTACGCTGTTTCCGAGGCAATCTCCTTCGATTCCGGTGCAAAGGTGCTAAGCTTTCGTCCGTCATATGATGGACATCAGCAGAGCGAAGTAACATCGTCACAACAAAATGCAAGCTAACAATTCAAGAAAACTCACCGGCAAAACCCTAAAAAGCGGTATATATACTCTAGATCTGGCCTCTGATTAAGTGTAAACTGATTTAGTTAGATAAGGTCATATGTCAATTTCGATGCATGTGCGTGTGTCTGTCTCTGTATTTGTATGTGCCTGTTTGTGTTCGCTCATGCACGAAACCCGAAGTGATGGCTCAAAGTAATTAGAACAGCAAAAAGGAACATCTGTTTTTGGCCATCAAGGTTTAATGACCCCTATCTCCCCATTTCTACATTTAAGTTATAACCATCACTCCGATTGCGCAAGGTCGGACACACGTCTGGGTTTGTTGATGAGCCTATTTGGTGTTTTTGGTCTCAATACAAAAGAGAAAAAGTGGGCTAAAAGTACAGAGAATTGACTATCATTAGAACCAAAACAAGAAAAGACTAGTTGCGTCGCCTCCATTTTGCAGGCAGCTCAACTCCCTCCCTATC